AAAGTATTACATCTTTGTGCCAAAATAACATCCCATACACATATACAGTAAAACTTGAAAAAAAACCAAAAACAAACTATACAGTAAAACTTGAAAAAAAAAAAAAAATAACAGCAGATATTGTCACAAATGCCTGGTGCCAAGAGAAGACATTCTCAAGAAGTGTTGTGCTCCACTCCAGCATTCTGAATCCAATCTTCCATCACAGAATCATAGGGCAGAAATGCCGAATGGCTTGGGCTGGAAGGGACATTTAAAGGTCACCCAGTCCAGCCCCCTGCCACGAGCAGGGACATGAGCAGTTGTCATCCAGCTCAGAGGTAACCATCATTCCGACTCTCTACATCTACCTTAAGGAGAAACACTTCAGGGAAGCCAAAGAATTACCATAAAATAGGCTACGATTTAATTAGAAGGAGGAACATGCTGGATACAATGTCAATGGAAGAACACACTAATGAACATTTTAATGAGATCAATATGCCCTCGCATCTCTCACTAAAAAAGCCCGAGATCCCCCTTTGCAATGGTCGGCAGCAGCTGCAAGAACAGGCTCCCTTTCTACTGATGTGGGCGATGCTAAAGCAGCAGCAATTCCTGGAATTCCAGTCGGGAAGGAGAGGAGGAACAAGGGATGCTTTTAGCTTCCGAGATGTATCAGGGCACATTTCCCCCCTGCTTCTGAAGGCGCCGTTTCAGGGAAACAATCCCCACCAGAGCTCTCCCAGGACAAGGCGCCTCCGCAGCCAGGCAAGCGCGACCCTCCAGCTGGAGGGAAAGTTCAGCTCTAAATCTAAAATGCAAGTGATTGTTTACATTATTAGAGTTTAATGCTCCTGACATTACTCTGTATGGATTTTTAGAGCCCATTTCAAAATTTAACAAAGTCATCAGGTTTTTAACAGGAAGACCCTGTACGTTGTACACGGAAAGAATCTAGCACAATTCTTACTGACAATTTTCAACAAGTTTCTAGCACAAAGTTAGCAAGTCAGTTTTGGAAGACTTGTTCCATGAACATCCCTGTCGAAGCCAATAGCACCAATTTATACACCTTATACAGCTTTAAGAAAACAAAACAAAAAAGCAGTGTTTAACCAATGCTTAAAGCTTTTTCTAAAGCATAATTTGAAAGTTTGCAATGGAAGAATAATACTGGAATTACAGGAAATCAAGAAAGTAGCAAAGGCCAAATAAAATTCCCTGTCTTCTTTTATGAAATATACTTTTTAACACCTAAAGAAAGAAACAACAACTAAAAAGTCACCATGGCATGGTGCAGCAGTGGAAAATGGCTGTGTTTCAATTGCACCTGTATCTATCCTGCAATTTAAAGTTAATTGATAAGTTTATGAGGTGGGACATACTAAGGAGTAGGTATTATAAGATGTTTCTAAGTCAATGCTTTATATTTATTGTTTAATTCTTTTCAGCATCTAAGTTTCCTTTATCTGCCTGGCAGGGGCTCTAATGGATCTAAATAAAAGGAGGAAATTTGTCTAACATGTACACTTTGCCAATTCTATCAGACGTTGCTGTAAGAAATGTAAATCAAGAGATGGGATCTTAAAGTTTTATTCACTGTAGTTTTAATAGACCATGCCAGTATTACTCCAGTATCACCAGAGATGTCTCCAAGAACACTGGATGAATACTAAGAAGGCCTACCATGATTCATGCTATGGAAGCACAGATTAAATCCTAAACTTTTAATCTCCCAATTGGATCCACACGGGGAAACTCAGGACGGCTTCAGGGAATGTGCTAGCAAAGCCACCACAGAGGGGACACACCGTCCCTTTAACCAGAACGGAAACACTCCCAGGTCTTGGCATCAGAAGTTACAGGTTTGTTTTCAGCACTGATGTGTGCAAAGATGTAGGACTCCGTGATAGGTATACATTAGCATGTCTCCACATCCGTATACTACCTACAGATTATCAGTCTTTTGGGTCTTTCTTCCAGAAAAGCATACAAATTTTGAATACTAAAGCATTTGAGATGAAGCAAGTTTTCTCTGAGCCACAAAGCAGAAAGCAAGAAGGCTCATACTGAAGTATCGTACAGACCAGCTATGTGAAAGTCCACTTCTAAGGCCAACCTTATCCAGGCAATTCAATGAAATTCTACTTCAGATAGATAAGTACTTTTGGAAGACCTTATACTAATAAGCAGATTATACGTGCCACTAAAAAAAAGCCTGTTTTGATAATCAGTGTTCCAATAGTCCTAGTGCTCCCTAAAGTGACTTATAATTTACTAACCCTACCTGATCAAACCGTAAAATACTCTTTGTAGTAGTACAACCCCACAGGAGCCTGGACTGCATGGCCACCAATAAACCACGCCAGGCCATAAACAGCGCCAGGTCTCCCACGCTTTCAAACAAGTAACCATTTTTCATTAGGAATTACAAAGTGATTCCAAACGAGAAGATTAGAAATATACGAAATTCAACTCAACGCCAAAGGCACTAGAATTGCATGGATAACAACGAAGGCAAAGTTCAGGCTCACCAGCAATTCCGGAAGGTTTGTAGGAGCATTAACTAACAATAATCATGTCGAGATGAGTTCTCATGCAGACCACGCAGAGAAGTCATCAGACTTGGTTTGTAAACTATGTCATACAGAGACAATAGTAAACGTTCAAATTCAAGATAAATAAACTTGGTGTCAGATAAACCAGATAAAAATAATTTCCAAGAGCTACATATGAAAAACTCACTAATTAATGTCTATGTATAATATACACTACATGGAAGGGAAATTCCTTTCTAAAATTACTTAGCTCAGACTTGTTTATGCTGCAAATGTTTATAAACCAAAATGCTATCTTTCAGTCATTCGAGTACTTGGGTTATATCTTGTACTTCCTGAGCGTGACAAAGAATCTGACATGGCTAAGACAAATCTATTACAAACTGCAGAATTTTTTTCTTAAAAATAGCTTACTTGCAAGAAATATCAAGCATATTAAGTAGGAGTTTGATTAACCTAGAGCAATCCATCAATTAAACAAGATTAATTCGTCTTTCTTGATTGTTCCAGAAAAGATGGTAGAAACTCAAAATAAGCAGACATTAATCTATGAGCAATGAATTAGGGAAAAAAAAATAATTACAAGGAAAAAATGCTTATAACAGATAAAAACACATGTTTTGGACAGCTCAGGTCAGAAGTCTGGCAGCCTGGAAGATGTTCCAAATCAAGTCAAATCCATTTTGCACATTACAATCAAAACTGACCGTTTATACCCCACATCCACAGTTCTGGAAATATTTTTTTAGTATTAATTTCTGAAAAGGCAGTTATTTTTAATGTTTCACAAATCATTTCTGGGCAACCACTGACTAGAAGCTTTTATGCCAAATTCACTTGTAATAGTATCTTCTGGGGGTAAGGGGAGAAGAAGAAATTCCTAATGAAATCGCATAGCAAATACAGTAGCTCACTCTGAGCTTTGAAAAAATATTTAATCTTTTTCTTAAATGACATCTATGAAAATGCCACAAATAATATTATATTAAACTCTTAATAAGAGTTGAGAACTCATGACCAGTAATATCTGTGATGGTAGAATCTATGCCATGTCTACTATTGCTCCAGTAAGTATTCATCCTGCAACTCTCCTTCTCTCGTGAGAAGGTGCTTTGGTTGTTTACACCTACTCCTGCTTACAGCATAATAAAACACACTATATCATATAAAGTAAAATAGTTGTAGATAACCAGTTTTTATGGTGCAATGATTTTCAGAGCTGTAAGTATTTAAATCAATATGCTGGCATAACAGAAATGGTTAAAATTACTTTCTCTTACTTAGGAAAAACCTTTTTTTCTTTCCTTTAATCAAGGAGTACAACATTTACTTAGTCTTCATGCAACCCCAGCTATAAGCATTTTTTGAAAGAAGAGGAAAAGGCTTCACATTCAGACAGCGTAACGTTACTCCCACTGAAAGCCACAGAAATTCTCCCGCTGCCCTCAGTAGGAGTAAGAGCAGTTCCAAATGGCTCCAGCTTTTCAGATTTTCCACCAAGAACGCCTACCGCCAAAAAATGCAATTCTATTTTATCATGAAAAGCCACAAACCAATAACCAAAATAAAGCTGAAATTGTTTTAGAAGTGAGCAGTCACAGCCAATGAGTCGCATTTGTAAAGGAACCAACCCGCGTTCTGTGGGGCTGACAAGCAATAAGTGGGGAGCACCATCACCCCGAGAATGCATGGCCCTCCTGATGAAGGGTGACATCCTCTTAAAGAGGAGCACAGAGCACACCTCACTTCTGAAACAAGCAAATCATAGTCGTGAACTCTGTAAAAACCATCTCTGACGATGAGAGCACAATTACTACTGTCTCTGCGCTGCAGAAGGAGCAGGAACATTTTCAGTTGTACATTCCTTTACTTCACAAAGACGCTGCAGAATAATAATGGGCTGCTCACATATCTACAAACAGCATCCCATTTGATTGCCTGCTACTTTTTTCCTAATTTTGAAGGAGCAGTGAGGCTGTTTGGCAGTGGAGTGGCTGAGAGTGGGCAGTGAGGAGGGGGGAGCCCGTTCACCTCTTCTCTGGAAGTAGGACAGCAGCAGAACAAAACATTTTGAGAAGTTCCATTTATAAGGTTTTGGAAGCTTTATTATGAGTTACATTATATGCAGTTAATTCTTCTACATTTTGATTATGCAGACATTTGGGTTTATATGGTGGTTTGCTATTCCAAGCAGACGAATTCAAACTCTTGCATATTTTAGCCATACTCAGTTCAATAGTCCTACTGTTTGAGAAAAAGGCCACTAAATACTACTACTACAAAATGACTTTAGTCTTTCATCACTGTATTGTTGGCTAAAGAATGACGATTGTGAGACTGCAACAGTAAACAGCAAGAAGGATGAAATTAGAAACAGTTTTGCCTTCTAGATTTCATAGACACGAATGTGTGGAGTTAATAAAATAAAAATATAGGTAAGGAAATGTTGACAACTCTTACCACCCTTTCAGGCGAGTCGTTAGCCCCCTTTCCTTCTTCATGAAGCACAACTCAAAGTTATGGATAACCCTGGAAAATACAATAGATAGATCAAACTCTGAATAGAAACTCTGTGATTAACGTGACGAATGACGTGTTGATCTGAGTAATGGGACAACTCTACACACAGCGCCACAGCCCAAACACCTGCCAACACCACACCACAGCCCCCAGCTCACACCAGCTGTGCCAGGGCTTCCACCAGCCTCTCCAGCTCCCACTGCCTGAAATCAAAGTTCATGGAAGAAATTTCTCATCTGGTTTGAACGCTCTAGAATGTGGCTGTTTCTACTGAAATCTCTGTATCACAAAATCCAAAAATAATTTACATGTAAAGTAACAAGACGCAAAATAGCCAAGATGTCTCTCTGTATTATCTCCTTGCTTAAATATACATTTTTTGATCATACGCTTGATTCCAATGACCTACCACCTGTTACATACATACAAGAGCAGTTTCCATAGAAAACATATATACTGGAAGCTCACAAAATCCAAAAATAATTTACATGTAAAGTAACAAGACGCAAAATAGCCAAGATGTCTCTCTGTATTATCTCCTTGCTTAAATATACATCACAAAATCCAAAAATAATTTACATGTAAACATGTAAAGTAACAAGACACAAAATAGCCAAGATGTCTCTCCGTATTATCTCCTTGCTTAAATATATATTTTTTTGATCATACGCTTGATTCCAATGACCTAACACCTGTTACATACATACACAAGCAGTTTCCATAGAAAACCTACATACTGGAAGTTACAAGGACATTTTATCAAGTCTTGAGCAACTGTTCCTTGTGTTTGTTTTCACCCCAAAAATTGTAAATTTCCAACTGTTTTACCTATCTTTGTTTCCAAACTGAAGCCCAGCTGGTTCCATACATCCCTGGCAGTGGTGCACTCATCCCCTGCAGACCAGGAAGGGCTAACTGCACTGGCGTTACAAGAGAGAACATAAACTTTACTCTGACCATAAACTCTAAAAAACTTTAGGGGGCTAACTGCACTGGCGTTACAAGAGAGAAGATAAAATCTAAAAAACTTTAAATCCCAGAGCCCTCTACAGAATTTCTGAAGTTAATAAAAAGGAAGCAAGATACTTGAGTGGTGGTACCATAGAATCCTTGACTATCCCTATATATTGGGCAAGGCAGAGGAATATACACACGCCCAAGCACCACTGGCCATTGCAATCCCAGAGCCCTCTACAGAATTTCTGAAGTTAATAAAAAGGAAGCAAGATACTTGAGTGGTGGTACCATAGAATCCTTGACTATCCCTATATATTGGGCAAGACAGAGGAATAGACACACGCCCAAGCACCACTGGCTGTTGGTCCTTCTATTGCTGGTTAGACTGGGTTTGTAGGGCAGTCCCACTGACACATCAGAATCCTCTGACAGCACCCATTTAAATAATCAATACCACACATAATTAGGCTATGTTTTGGGTTGGGTGGAGGGGTTTACAGTCCTCAATGAAGAGTGCTCACACACAAGGCTCAACCTGAACTCACTAATACAGCAAAAAATGACTAACGCTCAGCCCCATAAAGGATATACGTGCACTCAATGGTAAAAATAGCTTTTTGTATCTGAGAAACAGACTTATTTTTTAAGTGACCTAAAAAATACGAACACAGCTATCTGCAAGCTGCTCTTATGAAGGAAGACTTTGGGGTTTTCCCCCCATTTCTGTAAGCCAGTGAGCATTGGGCTGCCTCACAACCCCCTATATTCTCTGTGTGTGCCTTCACCTTCCACAGCAATTTTAATGATTCATTTCACAATTTACAAATTATGAGGCAACACTATGTCTTAACGTATTAATTCCACTGGCTCCAAGATGACACTTGATGAAAATGTATCTAGTTAGTAAACAGGATGCTTTATTTATCTTCAACTCTGATAAGTACATGCTTTTAAGTATTGCAGAACAAAGGAAGAACCTCCCCACAACCATGAGAGGCGCCAGCAAGTAGAGCACGTAGACGGAAATTCACTTTGTCACAAAATAAAATTTCATTAGAGGGGTCATGTTGTTCCAGAAGGAGCAGTGAGGGAGATGGTAGAGTCATAAGAAATGTGTTGAATCAGTACAAATCCAACCTCAGGCAAGAATTTTCCTCAGAAGTTTCATTTTTATTAGCAATTCAGGCTTCTCCTGCTGAGCGATTCAATCCAGAGGTTGGAAGCAAAATCTTGCCATTGCTCACCCTGTCAAAAATTTTTCCCCCAAAATAAAATAAACATACAATTTCCTCTAACCAAAAAGAAATGCAAACAGTGATAACAATCAGAATAATATTAAACAGACATCAGTGGGGTAATATTAAAGATTAAAAAAACGCCACTAATAGCTTCATTGACTTTTAAAATATTGCAGCAAATCCTAAACTGACCCTTCTAGATTTATTTTTAAGTAAGTATGGCAGCTCTGTATGAGCCATTTTAAAAACTTCTACTCTTTAAAAAAAGTAGAAAATTATGGCCTATAAAAAAAAAAAACAACAAATAACCTCACACCATTAAGAATCTCACTGATTAAGAAAATCAAAAGCTGAATGGCAAACCATTTTCATTCACGTTTTCAATATAAATCAAGATGTTACTTGAGTTACAAATCTGGGTACTCTGCTACCTATACATATAGCACCTTGGAAGGTTTCATGAAGAAATCATAATTATTGATAACTTACATCTATGTTTTTGAGCAGCATGAAATCATAATTATTGATAACTTACATCTATCTATGTTTTTGAGCAGCAGAGTTCAAAAAGTATGTTCCACATTCTGGTAATTTTCACTTGATTAAAAACTAATCACTATTCAGCATCTAACTCATGGGAAGAGGAATTCAAGCACACAATACCTGCACTGTAAAGAGATCAGACTAGAGCAATTCTTCATGAGAACAATCAACTGATATTAAAGTACATCTCTAACCTTTTGCAATAACATACTCTCAAATTGCCAGGGGTGCAGATGTAATGTGATTTTGGATCTCCTTGTACAACACAGCTCAGCAAACCACTGGGTAAGTCAAGCAGCAAAGCAAGAGAACAAGATTGCCTGTCTTCACTTCTAACTTTTTTGGACTTGACTCTGCCAAACCCCAGGTCCCAGAACCCTTCTCAAGAACCAAGCCAACGCTGAAATTACAGAAGTAGTGCAAGTGGGGTTGTATTTTGAACTTGCCAAAGAAGTATCGTGGTTTAACACACAACACTGAGAGAAGAAATGATGGAAAAAGAGCACTTCATCTAGTGCTGTATCACAGGCTTGAAGAAACCTCCTTCTGGCAGATCAGCTACCAAGAACTAATGAGTGTATACTCCGAAAACTGCAGTAAGGACTACCTTATTAAGTCTCTTATAAATATTCAAAAGACTCACCATATTAGCAGTTCCAAACATAGTAAAAGGTGAAGGTCTCAAAGAACAGTGCTAAGCATAACACTGCCAGTTCTGACTGGAACCTTATGTTGAGCCAACACCAGCTGACAAGGGCACGACCTTCTATTGATGCTGAGAATGATGACTTGGTTCAAAAATTGTTTCGTTTTGCTGCCACAGATTTAACAGCCCAGGCTTCGTCCCCATGAGACGAGTAGAACATGCTCATTAGGTAACCTAGTTCCACTGAGACAAGATTCTAAACAAAGGCTAAGCACCTTTATTTTAATATTACAAACATGTTCTCAAGGTACTTCAATGCCGACCATAGTGGAGGTGAAAGCCAAGCACGGACCCCCGGTCCCAGGACCATGTCACAGCACCACACGCTCAATGGGAGGATGGTGCTGATGGAAGTTGTGGGTGACATTGAACACGTCAACAAAAAGCAGTGAGCACCGAGCAGAAATACAGCTCAACACACCAGCACAGCAATTCTGAGGCTCTTCAAAGAGGTGCATAAATAAAAGGAAATCATTTTCGTTTTGTTTATCCAGCCTCACAGACTAGACAATCATGAATTATTTTAGCAACTTCTTTCAGCTTGTCCAAAATATTCACTGCCCATTGTTTTCATCTTCCTAGAAACAGACACGCCAATGCCAGACAATATCTGGTACAATCAACTTGGATTTACTATTCCTACCATCTGTCTCGAGTCGAACCAATAAAGTACAACTGAACAAGAAAAGAGGATGAGAGGAAGAGGGGAATGAGAGTGGCACAAAGACAGGCAGGCAGTTATTGCTCACTCTGAATGCAATAACAAGAACTCTAGAGGCCAAAACGTTCCAGCTGAGCTAACCGTGGCTTCCTGCTGCTGTTACTAACGTGGTATTGTAGAAAAGTAATTGCAATTATTACTCACAAAGTACAAAATACCAAATGGAAACAAACAAAATAATGGAAGAAACATGCATCTATTGGCAAAGCCAACACTCATTAGAAGATTCTATTCAATATGCTTTGAAGCCATCTGTATAAAGTGACAGTGGAAGCCTTTAAATTTAAATACAGCTTTTAAAATTCTTTATTTCACTAGAGGCAGAAGTTTGACTTTAAGTGTTAATTGAAATGGATGCAACTAAAAAAACCAAACTAATTGGAGATTCATAAATGCAGCTGCTCGTGGTACCCACATCCCAGCCTGCCCACAGCCCTGCCCACCCAGCTCTCCTCAGGCTGGGACATCCACCCATGGGTTCTACTCACTGCTGAGAAACACCAAGGGAGGCTCTCTTCCATCCCCGGGACTCCTCTCTGGACCTCCCACCCTTTGCACAATCAGGATCCTTACAACTTTGGTTCTTCTTGTAGAAGACAGAATAATTTGAAGGTTATTCAATTATTTTCACAGAATGGCAGAACCGTGGGGGTTGGAAAGGGCCACTGGAGATCATCTGGTACAACCCCCTGCTCAAAGCAGAGTCAACTCCAAGTCGCTCAGGATCTTTTTCTGAATGGTTTTGAAAATGTCCAGGATTTTGTGGATAATCTCCACAACCCCTCTGGTCAACTTGCTCCAACGTTCAGTTCACCTCTACAGTAAGTTTTTTTCCTCAGGTTTT